TAATAATAATAATAATAATGTCACTGATAATGATTTAAATTTGAATCTCCGCTACAGGTACGTGTTTTCTTTTAAACCGATTACATTTTTTATGTTTTCAGCATGGTAATTTTTTCATATATACATATTTGGATGGTATCATCGTAGTGGAACTTTGTTTTCCTTAATCCTTCGAGGCAAGGGGGGCTTGGTAGGCCCGAATGCCAATTTGATTTTCCGTATTTTTTTTTTTAATAATTAAATCTTATTTTGTTGCTCGAGATAATTACACTTAAACATAATTTGGACATTATAGGGCAAACCGTGTCTGTCAAGCCCTTCTATTAATTCGTTTGCCTAAATCCATTATTAATGCAGTGTTGATATTACTTAGGTAAGAAGTGTTTTATAAAGCTAGTAATATGCAAAATGACACGGTATTAGGGTTTAAATGACTAATTTTACGCTTAAATGGATATAAATTATGGGTGAAACGTAGGAAGGGTGGGTTACGAATATTTTCTAGCAAATCAATAATAATGTAACTTTCGACAATTACTTCACAAATATTTCTTTAGCAAATAACTCAATAAGTGAGGAACAATCAAATGTTTATCTCTATTTGGAATTACACAAAAGCAGGTATGTATAGTGTCGTATATGTCAAAATGAAACAACCATGTTTTAATTTCGTCCACCATCATAATGCATTGTACACTTTCCCGAAAAATAAAGACCTAGAACAAATTTGTTTTAAATTACAGGCGACTATTTTGGGCAGATAATCTACGAACCGACTGAACTGATTATTTTGAAACGTTAGTGTTCTAAGATCATTATCATGTACTGTCTGTTGGTAAGGAAATCCGCTTGAAGTCTTCACACGTTTCCTTACCCTAAATAGTGTGTCCATTATGTTAAAAACTTACAAAACTAATTTTTGCAAATTCTGACAAGACAGTAATATTGATTTAGTGACAACAGAACATCGATTAAAATTTACTTATTCATTCCCTGTGGAACGGTAATGACGTTATCCAAAAAATACGACTCGAGAAACAAAGTTTGTGCTTTATCTATTGTATTGATTAAATAATAATAATAATAATAATTAATTTCTTGTTGTAAATTTATTAACCTTCAAGTAACACAACATAAAATATCCAACGATAAAACTGTATAATTTGTAGCTGTCCAAAAACCATCCAGAAAATCATTTTTATGCCACTAATTTATCTATATAAATAAAAATGAATCGCCGAAATGTATGTACGCGCATAACTTCAGACTGCACCAAATTGGATGATTCTTTTTTTTATGTGTTCCTTATTGTCAGGACAAAGTTTGTATATAAGAAAATTTACAAAAAATAAGACAGCTAAAAAATCAAAAAATTCTAAATATTTTGTATGGGAATCGCCACTTCGAATTAATTTCAATAGATGGCGTTCCTGACGGACCTGTCGTCTAACTGACGTGTCATACAAAACTATTTCTTCCGTGCGATTGTGAAAAGTATATTGCATTCAAATCGTTCTTTGTTTTTTCGTAAAAAAAACGTCGTTTATTTTAAGAAAAGTCTTGGTTAAAGTGAATTTAGTTACACATTGCGAAAGTTCTTTATTAATTTTGATCTGCCATTCTATTTATCTATATATATATATTCACTTTGTTGGTTTCGAAAAAACCTCAATCGTTACCGTTATTCGAGGATTTAATTTGAAGTTTTCAATATTTTAAAATTCTCAAGACAAAATTTACAGATTTGATTGACTGTGAAAATAATTCTGTGTCGTTTTATGAAGTTCATGACAATGCCGAGAAGACGACAAGCTGACATAAGTCCACGAAGTCAATCAAATGTGCGACGAACTACCTCAGGTGCAAATTGCAATGATTTATTTCATGGGTAATTCGGATACGGAAGTTGATCAGCGTTGTGCTCATAATCAACATAATAGTCAAACACTGAAGCGAGACATTGGATGGTATGAATAAAACTGAGTAGATACTCATATTCGAAGTACGAAGTACCTACTTGCAAACATTGTATCTCTCCGGACACAAATTGAACATCTACGCGTTTTGCGAGCATTTAATCTAAAAACGAGCATCGGCGTGGCAAATGACTATTTGTCCTTATAAATAATAAATTAAATGTAATATATTTTTGTTTCCTTAAGAATATAAAGTTAACAAAGTTAGTTGAGTTACAAAAGTCTCTTTTGCTCCACGTTGGCCACCAACGAGCGATTTTCATGATTTTTGTGAAACTGGTTTTGAATTTGGATTTTCTGTCCTCGATAGTTGATGCTCAGCAAGAACCACGGGAAAGGAGAAGGCTAGGATTTATTAATGAGGGATAGAACGTTATACAGTACAATACAACAGAAATACAATACAAGTACCTACAATCTGGCTACAATACAGAATACACTACAGATACAGATACAATTCAGATACAATGCAGATACAATACACCACCGGAAGAAATTGCACCAAAAATTGAGAATTTGCAAAATGAAAACCCAAGCAAGCACATCGATGGAACTCTAAACGAAATCTATTGGTCGCAGCGCTCACACGCCCAAGGGAGAACGCAGCCGCATAAATCCAAGGTCGTCTTACCTCATTCTCAAAGAGTGATGCAACCCAGCGTCTAACGGCCAACAGAACCCCCCAGGCCAAAGCGTCTGACGACATGGAGAATTCAGACTCGGAACCAAAGAATGCACTGTTGCAAAATTAATACCCAAGCAAGTGAACCGTGAAAACAAAGCAAAGTTAAGTTAGTAACACATAAAATATACAGTACAATATGCTTCAATTACAAAAGTTACAATATACAAATTTCTCCACGTTTGCCATCAAAGAGCGATGACTGCTCGCTCGTTGCTGTTGCCCAGCAAGAACCAAACAATACGAGGATTGCCATTAAAAGAGAGGAGTAGGGTTTGATAGCATGTGAAAGACACCGTGTTGTGTAAATTTGGACGCCGTACTTTAAAAATGATGCATACGGTATTTTGTGAATTATGAACGCAGTACTTTGTATATTTTAAAGCCGCACTTTATCAGTGCTGAATGCATGTTATTAACAACAAATTTCAAAAAAACTCGGCCATTTTCGGAAAAATATCCACTTTCCTTCGTGTTCACAGCACTTAACACAAATAATTTTTGCTAATATTTATTAACAATAAATTAGAAATTCGCGAACACGTGGTACTGCTACCAGACCGGAATCAAAACTGAACACAAAGGATCGAATATTTTAGCTCAGAAATTGTACATTTTCGGGGTTAATTTAACAATGTTTAAACAAACTAATTTGTTTTTGCTAACCTCGTCTTCTTCGGGAAATGGTTTTCGGTTTAATTATCATATATTAATAGTTATCATATTTAAACATTATGAATTATATTAATTATGTTTTATTTAATTATATCGCGAACATGTATAGCTTTGACCCACCAACTTCAATCGTTTCGAAAATTTATCCAAAATGTAAACATTGTCGAGTAAACGAATCATGAAATCCGATAAATTAAAACTTAAGTCGTACTTACCCTGTTTTCGGTCCTTTTCGGAAAAATATCCATTTTCGTTCGTGTTCGTAGCACTAACACAACAAATTTTCCTTAATATGTATTAATAATAAACTTGAAATTCGCTAAAACGTTCCACTTTTACCCGAAAACGACGCGACGATCTTGCCGCCATCAAACAGAAATTAATACTGATCACAAAGGACCGCGAAACGTGACCTTCGGACAGATAGCTCAGGTGACAGTGACGTCATCGTACGTCACGATAAGATTGCAAAAATTATTTTTCATATTTTCGCTCAGAAATTGTACATTTTCGGGGTTAATTTAACAATGTTTAAACAAACTATTTTGTTTTTGCTAACCTCGTGTTCTTAGGAAAATGGTTTTCGGTTTAATTATCACATATTAATAGTTATCATATTTAAACAATATGGGATAGAACGTTATACAGTACAATACAACAGAAATACAATACAGAATACACTACAGATACAGATACAATTCAGATACAATACAAATGCAAAGTTAGTACCCAATACACCACCGGAAGAAATTGCAAGATCTCAAAGTAGTTATTTCTGCAACTCTTGAGTTATTCTCTAAAATAAATTGACTGATCCATACATTTTTTTGAGTCACTGTAAAAGCAAGTCTAAAAAATCTGAATGCAATAAAAAATTAGGAAAATATACTGATGATATTTTGCACATTTTAGATAGGATTTATTCGGCAAAATCTTGAGATGACGTCATCAAGTTTTTGGGCTTGATAAACAGATATATTTTGATTAAAAACGTACCATGTCAAACAGTAACTTCAAAACGTCTGCAATATTTCAAAATTCAGTTTTGCAATTCTTGATTCAATCAATAAAATAAATTGACTCAGTGATTAATTTTTTTGAGACACTCCCTATAAGCAAAATTAAAAAATATGAATGGAATGATAAATCACAAGTATAGTCTCATCCTATTTTGGATATTTTAAAAAGGATTCATTTGGCAAAATCTTGGACTGACGTTATCAATTTTTTGGAGGAAGTAAATATTATTTTGAATAAAAATTTATTATGCCTATCATATGTTTAAAACATCTGCAAGATTTCAAAGCATTCGGTTTTCCAGATTCAAAATTAAATTGTAGGTGAAACGAAGTTCACGGGGTCAGCTAGTTAGGAATAAATTAAATTAAATCAAATTGTAGGGGTGATGATTCTGATTTGTTGAGAGGTTCGAATAAATCAAAATGAATTCAACAAAATTAGTTTTATACAAAATATAATCAAATATTTGTTTTTCAGAAGGTGTATGGGGGAAATAAATAAACGCAGAATATTCCTAGATTTTATTGAACGTTTGCCAAGTAGTGAAATAACTACAAACTAATAAAAAAGTGTTTCTGAAATGTTTATAAACAAAACTTCAGAATAAAGTTTTATCCGTGTGTTTCAGTAAGTGTATAATAATCTTCTTAAGTCGTTTGCCTAAGAAGAGCGAAATAAGAAGTCGACGTCTTCACCAACTAAAAACTTTTATCTTTAAGTGATTGCACGACAGTGTCACTTACAGTGATAAAAAGTTCGTGCGACATGACCCCAATGGGTGCTGCATGCAATTCCATGGGTTGTTGCGCTCGCGTAATTATCATCAAAACAATTTTCTGCAAGTCTACCGGGACTTTATACCACTTGGAATTATAAACTGCGCTGGGTATCTTCATGCTCTAAAAAGCCATAACTTATGGGTGACCCTCCACAAACATCTTGTCATACCTCCGTCAGCAAAATTTGTCCAGCATGACAACAAATAAAGAAACTAAAAACCCATCCACCTAGGTGAATGATCGCGCCGAAATTGTTTTCCTAAAAAACGACTTTTAGGTACACCAATGGTAAAACTTCGTACTTTCATGTATTGGTTGGCTAGCCCGGCGATAACGACACCCACTACCACAACGTAACTTCCATTGGGATACTTAAACTGCATGTCAAACAGCTCTTGCAAACTGATGATATGTCTGTGGTATCGTATGCAATGGTCGAGATTCCTCCACCAAACCATGTCCTTCGGGTCATCAAAAACGCTCCTCAACAGTTTGCGAAGATGCTTCATTTTTAAAACGATGACACTTGCAATTTCAAAAGTCGTGAAAGAAATAACAGCGCCTCCACAAATAAGTACAAACACGCTTATGGTCTGCATGGTGAGTAGAAATTGTCTGTAGGGGAAACGGTTGAAATTCATGTCGAACGGAGTCCAAGTTGGGGTGAGCAGACCGCAGATTTCCTGTAAGCCTTTTTCTTCGTTGTTGCGAAGACAGTGCGGAATCTCTCTGTGCTTTATGAATATGTAAACGAACACACCCGTCAAGCAGTAAAAGTCGTACGATTTGGAGTACAAGTTGAGTTTGCGAACGTTTTTCTCGAAATCGTCAGGTTTTCCAAATTCCGTAGGGGCGGTTAATGCGTCGAAGAGGTCGGAGATTTCTTTATGTTTCCAGACGATGGAGATCGACATGAAGTGGACACCAACTATGGATGTTAATACAGAAACGTCTCCACTTAAATCCACGTCTAGATCGTCTACAAAAATGTTTTGAATGGGTTGTGTTTTAACGCGATTCGTACCTTTTATAACAACGATGAAGTGAAGCAGAAGTCCCACCCAAAAGGGCGAGCAGATGACGACAGTCAGAAAATAGCGAAAATAAAAAGCGAAGGATACGGAATGGCCCTTCTGTGTCCAGAATTGACGGATTCGCAGTTGTTTTAAACTGTGGTTGAGGAACTGTTCGTCGCTTTTCATTTTGTGGTTTGAAATGGGTATATGAATAGTAGTTTGTTGAGTAGCAGCCAAGAAGTGGGATAATGAATGGTTAAATTAAGGGTGAATGAGTCTTATTTATACATAAATGCAGAGTTGCGTGAAAAATTCAGATCTGTTGGATTGTAATTAACAGATGAATAATTGATTCCCAAAATTATTGACGTACCACTAATTTACGTTTCAGGAAATTAGAAAAAACTCGTTAAATTAAAAATGATAGTTTGAAAATGTCGCTGCTGCTTAATTCATCTAGTTATGGATTCAAGTTGTATTTACGTAGCTGCAGAATGACAGGTGAAATCTTACTCAGTTTCTTTGTAATAAAGGTACCAATATGTCCAGGTACGTGTTTTTTATTTTTCTTCAACACATGTAACGTTTTTTTATGATTTTTAGCATGGGTGTCAAAAATTAGCTGGCTACTTTTGGGTGAAAAATGTAGATTCGGAATTGTAATTGTTGCAGTTTCGGAGTTCTTTTCTTATGTTTTAGCGACGATGGAACTCAACGGTAGTATATCAGAGTAGTGGTTGCTTTTGTGTAAATTTTGGGAAGCTATAATGGAAATAAATAAGCGTAGAATATTCCTCGTCTATTGTGAAAAAGTACACAATAATATTAATGGTGCCACTATTTCATCAAATAAAAAATCAAATAAATAACAATTTTTCAGAAAGCAGGTTTGTTTTTGAATATTCGTAGTAGTCTTTCTAAGTCGTTTGGCTGAGAAGAGCGAAATAAGAAGTCGACGTTTTCACAAGCTAAAAACTTTTATTTTTAAGTTGTTGTTCAATTTGTTCACTTACAGTAATGAAAAATTCGTGCGACATGACTCCAATGGGTGCTGCATGCAGTTCCATGGGTTTTTGCGATCGCGTAATTATCATCAAAACAATTTTCTGAAAGTCCACCGGGAGTTTATACCACTTGGAATTATAAATTGCGTTTGGTATCAACATGCTCTAAAAAAGTATCGTTTATGGTGACCCTCACAAAGTTCGCTTCGTACTTCCGTCAGTAAGATTTGTCCTGCATGGCAGCAAATAAAGAAACTGAAAACCCACCCACCTAGATGAATAATCGCACCAAAATTTTTTTCCTAAAAAGCGAATTTTAGACACAGTTAGGGAATAATTTCGTACTTTCATATATTGGTTGGCCAGACCGGCGATCACGATCCCCACTAGCAGAACGTAACTTCCGTTGGGGAACTTATACTGCATGTCGAATAATTCCTGGAGCCTGAAAAACTACTTAGAAATCTCTCATTTCGTTAACACCTATAAGCTAGTACTTGATGATGTGTCTGTGGTACTTAATGCAATGGTCGAGGTTCTTCCACCAAATTACTTCCTTCGTGTCATCAAAGGCATGCCTCAACAATCTGTGCAGATGTTTCATTTTCAACACGATGACTGTTGCGAGTTCAAACGTCGTAAAAGAAATAGCAGTGCCTCCACAAATAATTATAAGCACGCTGATCAGCTGCACGATGAGCAGTAATTGTCTGTTTGGGAAACGGTTGAAATTTATCCCAAGCGGAGACCAAGAAGGAGTTATGGTACCACAGACTTCGTGTAACCCTTTCTCTTCGTTGTCTCGCATACATTGCGGAATGGCTTGATATCTTAATAAAGCATACGTGAACGTCCCTGACACGCAATAACAAGCGTACGATTTAGAGTACAAGTTGAGTCTACGAACAGTTTTCTCAAAATTGTCCGGTTTTCCAAATTCTGTAGGAGCCGTTAAGGCATTGAAGAGATCGGAGATATATTTGTGTTTCCAGACGATAGTGAATGACATGAAATGTAAACCTATTACAGATGTTAGGACCGAAACGTCTCCACTTAAACTCACGTCTAGATCATCTACGAAAAATTTGTCAGTTGAGTAGTAATTAATATGTTTCGTACCTCTTATAACAGTGATGAAGTGAACCAAAAGTCCCACCCAAAAAGGCGTGCCAACGATGACTACCAGAAAGTACCGAAAATAAAAAGCGAAAGACACAGAATGGCCTTTTTGCGTCCAGAATTGACGGATTCGCAGTTGTTTTAAACTGTGGTTGAGAAACTTTTCGTCGGCCTTCATCTTGGACATTGTGGTCGTCCGGTTGCGGACTATGTTTTATATGTTTTAAGAATTCTAATGGGTGTTTACGGTAATCATAAGTTATAAACCGTAATTTCTTGAATAGTAATAAAATAAGAAGGTAGGAAAATGAATAGAAAAGTGTGTGTTTTGCAGTTGCTTCTTTCTAATTCGGTCACACAAATGTCGCTTTTTTTGCATAATTGATGCTGTAGTTGTGGGTGAAGTTGTCCTCGAGTCCTGTCCCCAAGAACTTGCTAAGTGCGGACCCAGTTTTCTACAAGCTGTCATGTAGAATTCATCATTCGTACAAAGTCTGAAGACCGAATAACGTGAATAAAATTTGGTTTCGTGTCTCTGGTTAATTAGACTATAAAAAATCAAAAACCAGCTAATTAATCTCTCATATTGGTAAGTACGGTTAGTTTTTAATCTCAATTTTCCCTTTATGTTAACTTTTCAGACCAATTTATTTAGTTTAAATAAACATTATCTACTTAAATTAAATTAGGCCGATGACATTCCACGATCGCCTTAACACCATTACGGCACCTAACAATTTCCTTCAATATTTTATGAAGCGCGTGCTACTGTTGCAACACATGGGCGTGTCGCCACTAGCACTATTTTTAAAAGCTTGGCCTCACGTTATTTATTGACGAGTGTTGACGGAAGCGCAACTTATTAATTGTTGTTATTGTTTTTGCCAAAATTGGTACAATACGTTATGAGCCTTAGGAAATAATCAAGTTGAAGGAACAATAAATAAACTTGATGGGGTCTTTGTGTTGCCTTCCACATTTGTGTTTGACAGCTGCGATTGTAGTTTCACGTTTATAATATATGGATCGTAAGGGATTTGTTGCGAATAACTTCTTCGATTATTGGAATTCCTACATACTGGAAGCAGTATGTCGTACGATTTCGTATTACACTAAAACAGTTCCTTTGTGATGCCTTCAGATAAACACTTTATTACATGCGAGTTTAAATTAAGTATAACCTTTTGAAATTACTTGGAAGTTGCATTTAACATTGTCAGGTACGTGTATGCCGTCTTAAAAATCTGCAAAAATTTGTAAGTCAATAAGAAAGTCCAAGATTTTATTCTTACAGTCAGGATCATGACGTGTGCAAGATGACTAAAAGGGCCAGCGTGAATAAGTATAGGCTTTTGTGATCTGGTTATAATCAGAACGATATTTTTTTGGAAAGAAGCATCTCTGTCGTACCAGTTGCTGTCATAAGCGGTATCGCCAATTGAAAATCCCTGAAACAGTCTTTGTGTTTATGTTTTCACCGCTGTTACGGACTCACCTCGTCCATTACGTGTTGACCACTAACTGAGACGATGATGAGGGAAAGCATCCAACCGGAAAATAGCGAAGACGACAATAACGAGAAACTCTGCAAAAAACCGAAAGTTTATGTAACAACCCAAATTATTACGGGTACCTCCATCACTGTGTAACCCAAGCATCCAAAAAGAGCCCCCGAGAACAACACATGTGTAAATAAACACCTAGCGAAATTCTTATCCATCTCTTGACCAATCCTAAAACCCAAAACTGTACTTCTCGACCCCCGCACATTTCAACCCGTACTTAAAAATATCAGTGTGATATTCAACACACTTCTCCAAATTTTCGTTCCTCAGTTTTTCATCTTTAGTGTCAACCGTCTCCAACAACAACCCCTTCAAATGTTGTATTCTCACCACCAAGTGCTCCATCGATTCCATAAGCGAAAAAGATATAAGCGCAGCCCCTTTCAGTGTAAACAAAAGCGTGTAACACTGCCACAGATAAAGAATTTGTTTAAGTGGAAACACATTGATGTCAAAAGGCACCCAAGTCGTCACCACCAATCCACAAATTTCCTTAAACTTCCTCGTCAAGTTCGCCTTTTCGCAAGATTTCAGCCTGAGCAAGGTCTCCAGACACATGTTAAAAATGACAATGTCGATGAAAGTTTTGTACATTCTCGACCAAAACATCAACTTCTTGTTGCGTTGTTCAAAATTTGGCGGTATTCCGAATTTTTCGAAATTAGAAAGGTGCGTGAAAATCTTCGCAATGGGTTGTTGAAACTTGACGAAAGTCGCGTTGAAGTAGAAAACGCCCACTTCTCCGATTAGGATGACTAGGTCTTCGAAGATGTTGCTGGACTTGTCTAAAAAAGAGTGTTTTTGGGTGTGAAGTTCGAAGGGGACTTACTTTGGATGGACACCACTAAGTGAGCGGAGCTGCCGAAGATGATTACCGACTGAGAGGTGAGCATTAGTATGAATTTAATGTAGAACCATTTTCCAGGGTTTAGTTCGTGGCCTTTTTTGGGCCAGATGCAATTGAAGCGGAGGTAGCTTAGAGTTTCGCCTAGGATGACTAGAGGCATGTTTGGCGGAAAGGGAATTAGTACTTAAATTAAGGATGACAGTTTTATTTATATACAAATGAAGAGTTGCGTGAAAAATTCAAATGTCTTGTGTTGTAATTAACAGATGAATAATTGATTCCCTAATTCTCAAAATTATAGACGTAGCGCTAATTTACGTTTAGAGGAAATTAATAAAGACTCATTAAATTAAGAATGACAGATTGAAAATGTCGTTGTTGTTTTACATAGTTAGTTGTGGAGTCGGATCGAAGCAATATATGTAGTAATTGCAAAAAAATAAGTCGTAAGAGATTATGAGTTTGCAGACATGTAGGCAACCATTAATTCATTGAAAACCTGGTATGTATGCAGTTTTTTCTATTTCTTCATACGGGTTGAATTTTTTGTCGATTTTCAGCGTGGTCTTTTAAAAACCGGTGGCTCATTTCAAGAAGATGATTTGAATATATACATATCCGGATTATCTCGGCTGTCTTATTCTGTAATATAATTTTAAATATCCAAGTATTGAACTTTGTAATGACTTATAATTTTCTGGAATATTTGTTAAGCGTGGGCTTATCTACGTAAATAAGTGACAGAAATTCTAAAGTTAGTCAAATTTAAAATTTTCAAACATTTTTCTTTAATCTGCTGCAAGTATATAGTTTTATTTAATCCTATGTCGTGTTTTTGTCATGTTGTTATTTCTCTAATTGAATACAGCTCAAAAGGCGAACTTCAGTTAGCGAAAAGCTTTGGCAGTTTTTATATAGGTATAACACAATTCTTTTATTTTGGCAATGTGCTGTAAAACTACTTCTGCATTTTTTTAGGGGTGGAAACGATACCCTCGTAAATACAGTGTGTCAGACGAAGACAGAAACAAAAACATACCGTTTTACAACATCTTGCCAAAATTAAAAAAAATCAACTACAGTAATTTTTATGCATAAGAAAACAACTCTCTGAAGTTTGTCATTTAGTTTCGATAAAAATACCATAATTTTAGCTAGTACTAAACGGATGAAGCATCTGAGCTAGAAGCATAGAACTAGAAGGCTTTAGACCATCGAATATTTTAAACCTCAAGATATGTAGGTACCATTGTCTCGTTAAATTTGATACAAGACTACTTTTTAAATAAGTAAATATTTAAACTAATTAGAAAATCTGTATTTTTTGTATCTGATGTATCGTAAATATAAATTAAGTCTTTTTAATTTACTTTGTTTAATCTAAGTTTTCTTGTATTGTCTGCTACGAACTTACGACTGTGAATGTATATTCCATAATTTTTTTGCAGTGCAAAAATTAAACCAGACCACGTTAAGCGATTTTTAGAAGCGCATGCTCGAAAATGATGAATTGACCAATCAGAGCTGACTATTCTATAAATGTTAGACGTCGACTAACGTCAATCTTTCAGGTGCAGTCAAGTTTGCGAAAAGTTGGAAAATATTCCTTAACTTGATCAATCCGGACATGAACCGTTCTCTTGACAGTAACTTACCTACCTTCAGCTCTTTTAAATTAGTAGAAATGTCTGCTTTTTCACAAAACTTATAAATATTGTAGTAATATTCTACAGATTTGCTTATCTGTTGACTTTTTGAGTTTTAGTTGGCGTTCTAAATTAACTCAGAATAAAAGACTCCAGTGATGTTGAAGTACAGATTCGCTTGATAATTTTATATACAAAGACAAAACTTTGCCACACAACTTAAGAAACATTTATCGAAATAAAAAAAAATAACTCTGTTTCGTTTCTGGGAAAGAAATTAAGAATTTAAAATTCTAAACACTAGGAGAACAATTTGAAATTCATTTATTGATTATTAAACAGTACTGGTTTTGGTTATCCCTTTTCATCGGCTATATCGGGTGCTCTGCATACTTTTGATTATATTCAGTTTTTTTTTTCTAAGACTTCTTTGACCGACATGGAAATGGTCTGCATTTGAGCCGTAAATCTTTTGAAGTTACTTAGAAGTTGCATTCAACATTGTCATATAGGTGTAAGCGGTTTTAAAAATCTGTAAAAAAATATGAGTCAATGTGGTAGAATCAAACATTTTGTTCTTACAGTCAGCACGATAACGTGCGAAAGGTAACTAAATGGTCCAGCGTGAATAAGTATAGGTCTTTGAGACCTGATTATAATCAGAACGATGTTTCTTTGAAAAGAAGCATTTCTGTCATACCACTTACTGTTGTAAGCGGTGTCGCCAACTGAAAGTCCCTGGAAAAATCTTTTTGTTTCTTTATTTTTAACACTGCTACGAACTTACTTCGTCCATTACATGTTGACCACTAACTGAGACAATGATAAGTGAGAGCACCCAACCCAAAAATAACGAGTACGACAGTAACGAGAAAGTCTAAGAAAAAAACGAAAGTTTCATGTAACGATTCAAGTTACTACGGATACCTCCATCACTATGTAACCTATACACCCAAAGAGCGCTCCCGAAAATAACACGTGCAAAAACAAACAATTGGCGAAATTCTTATCCATCTCTTGTCCAACCCTAAAACCAAAACTAAATCTCTCAACCACCACGATTTTAAACCAATACCCAAAAATATCGTTGTGGTATTCAACACACTTCAACAATCTTTCCACCCTCAGTTTCGCGTCTTCGGTCTCCACCGTCTCCAACAACATCGTCTTCAAATGTTGTATTCTCACAACCAAATGCTCCATCGACTCCATAATTGAAAACGAAATAAGCGCCGCTCCCTTCAACGTAAACATAAGCGTGTAAACTTGCCACACATAAAGAATTTGTTTAAATGGAAACACGCTGATGTCGAAAGGCGCCCAAGTCGCGACCACCAACCCACAAATTTCCTTAAACTTGCGCTTCAAGTTTTCCCTTTCGCAAGATTTCAGCTTGATGAAGGGCTCCAGGTATATGCTAACAAGAGCAGCGTCGATGTACGTTTTGTACAATCTCGACCAAAACATCAACTTCTTGTTGCGCTGTGCAAAATTTGGGGGTTTCCCGAATTTATTGAAGTTAGAAAGGTGGGTGAAAATCTTCGCTATGGGCTCTTCATATCTAACGTAAGTGGCGTTGAAGTAAAACACACCCACTTCTCCGATTAGGATAACTAGGTCTAAGAAGATGTTGCTGGAGTCGTCTAAAAAAAGAGTGTTTTTGGGTGTGGCGGTGGAAGGAGACTTACTTTGTACGGACACCACTAAGTGAGCTGAGCTTCCGATGAGGATTACCGATTGAGATGTGAGTAATAGTATGAATTTAATGTAGAACCACTTTCCTGGGTTTAGTTCGTGGCCGCTTTTGGGCCAGATGCCGTTGATGCGGAGGTAGCTTAGAGTTTCCCCTAGGATGACTAGTGTCATGTTTGGCGGAAAGTAAAGTAGTACTTAAATTAAGGATGTTAGTTTTATTTATACACAAATGAAAAATGCGTGAAAAAATTTAGATCTCTTGGATTGTAATTAACAGATGAATAATTAATTCCCTAACTCCGTGACGATAATTTACTTGTGGAGGAAATTAATAAAGATCCAGTAAATTAAGAATGACAGATTCCAAATGTCCTTGATGTATATAACTTGTTGTGCAGTCGATTCGAACGAATGTCTGCAGAATTGCAGAGTTATGGTAAGAGGAGATTAAGCAGGAGCCTGACATGCAAGCATTCATAAATTAATTTTTAATACTAAGATGTGTTGTTCCGAATTTCCATGGTATGTACGTATTTTTTTTATATATTATTACTGCATTTTTTGTGATTTTCAGCATGGTCGTTTAAAAATGATGGGTTTATTTCAAGAAGATATTTTTAATATATTCATATCTGGATTATATCGTACATTCGCATATAAATTCAAAATCTAGTTTTATATATTTTTGGATATTTGAAATTTATTGAATTTTGAATTACTGTTGAGGTTTACTCTGAATTTGTTTTTATATTTTATTTTTACATCATTTTCATTGATTTTTTTGTTTATTTTAAGCATTTTTGTCTAGTTTGCTACATATATAAATTTTTATCTTATTCTATACATAACACTTTTTAAATTGTTATGTTAAAATTTTTTTCCTCATAGTTAATAGTGGATACTCCCATCAAATAAGTCATATACTTTGTATATATTGTATTTCGTGTATCGTCAATAAAAATTGTAAGTTTTTCCAATTTACTTTGTTTAATTTCTTCTTCTGCTGTTTGTTTCACATTTACGACTGTCAATAGCTTTTGCAATATTTTTTGTCAACGTAAAATATAAATTTTCATTTTAGGATTCGGTACTGTTTAACAACACCTTGCCAAAATAAAAAAAAAAAAACAACTGTAGTGGTTTTTGTTATTAAATTTTTTCTTTATGAAATAAAAACAACTGTTTAAAGTGTGTCACTTAAGTTTCAATAAAATTTCTATAATTATAGGGTTAATGTTGAGTCAAAATTGACTCAAAAATGACACGTTATTACATTCACATTCGTCATTTCATACTAAACGGATCGAACATTTGCGCACAGAACTAGAGAGCTTCAGGAAATCGAATGCTTTAAACGACAACGAGGATTCTTGTGCCGTTTTGGGTTTATTTAACGTTGAATTTTCAAAAAAGCCGGTTTTTAAAATAGGTAAATAATACACTAAACACAAAACTGGAAATTTTTGTATTGCATGTTCCCATAAATACAAATTGTCTTTTTAAAAAACAATAACATCAAACAGATTTCATGTAATGTCACGAATTTCAATAACATAGCTGAGTAAACATGCCAAATAAATTACATTAGAACTAAACAGAGATATAATGCTAAACTTAACTAAAAAATACGAAAGTAGCAATATACAAAAAACGTGAAAATTAAGATTTTGATTACCAAGAGGAAAATTTGTTATCCAAGAGTACTGGAATTGTTTTGGTTATATGTTCCAAATTATTGTGTTAGATGTTCTCACATATTGAGCATTTGTTTTCATTTTCATGGTGCGGTATGAACTCTAACATTGAACTACATATTGTCTATTATTATGATTATCAAAGCTCACATTACACAAAACAGTGGATTTTGTGGAAATATATTCCCCAACATTGAGGAGTAACATTTCTAAGTATATCTATGACTTTATCTTTCTCCTGTATGTATTTAAATCTTAAGTAAACACTACTATTACCAATATAATAGTTGTGAAGTTACTTAGAAGTTGCATTTAACATTGTCATGTAGGTGTAAGCCGTTTTAAAAATCTGGAAAAAAAAAGTGAGTGGATGTAGACTCCAAAATTTCACTCTTACAGTCAGCACCATGACGTGTGAAAGATAACTAAAAGGGCCAGCGTGAATAAGTATAGGCCTCTGAGCTCTGGTTATAATCAGAACGATGTTTTTTTGAAAAGAAGGATTTCTGTCGTACCACTTACTATTGTAAGCGGTGTCGCCAACTGAAAATCCCTGAAAAAATCTTTCTGTGATAGTATTTTCAGCACTGTTGCGAACTCACCTCATCCATTACGTGTTGACCACTAGCTGAGACAATAATGAGCGAAAGAACCCAACCAAAAAACAGTGAAGACGACAATAACGAGAAACTCTAAAAAAAAACGAAAATTCAATCTCCAGTAACAACTCAACTCACTACCGCTACCTCCATCACTTTGTAACCAATGCACCCAAAGAGCGCCCCCGAGAACAACACGTGCAAAAACAAACAACTAGCGAAATTCTTATCCATCTCTTGCCCAACCCTAAAAAAAAAACTACATCTCTCAACCACCACACTTCAAACCTATACCCAAAAATATCATTGTGGTATTCAACACACTTCAACAATCTTGCCTCCCTCAGTTTCGCGTTTTCGGTCTCCGCCGTCTCCAACAACATCACTTTCAAATGTTGTATTCTCACCACCAAGTGCTCCATCGACTCCATAATCGAAAACGAAATAAGCGCCGCCCCCTTCAATGTAAACAAAAGCGTGTAAACCTGCCACACATAAAGAATTTGTTTAAGTGGAAACACGTTGATGTCGAAAGGCACCCAAGTCGTCACCACCAACCCACAAATTTCCTTAAACTTGCGCGTTAAATTTTCCCTCTCGCAAGATTTCAACTTGAGGAAGGGCTCCAACCCCATGCTAAAAATGGCAGCGTCGATGTACGTTTTGTACAATTTGGACCAAAACATCAACTTCTTGTTGCGCTGGTCAAAATTTGGGGGTGTCCCGAATTGTTTGAAGTTGGAAAGGTGGGTGAAAATCTTCGCGATGGGTTCTTCATATCTGACGTAAGTGGCGTTGAAGTAGAACACTCCCACTTCTCCGATTAGGATGACTAGGTCTAAGAAGATGTTGCTGGAGTCGTCTAAAAAAACAGTGTTTTTGGGTGTGGGGTGAAAGGAGACTTACTTTGGAGGGACACCACTAAGTGAGCGGAGCTTCCGAGGAGGATTACCGATTGAGATGTGAGCATTAGTATGAATTTAATGTAGAACCACTTTCCTGGGTTTAGTTCGTGACCTTTTTTGGGCCAGATGCCGTTGATGCGGAGGTAGCTTAGAGTTTCGCCTAGGATGACTAGTGTCATGTTTGGCGGAGAGTGAATTAGTACTTAAATTAAGGATGATAGTTTTATTTATACAGAAATGAAAAATGGGTGAAAAATTTAGATCTCTTGGATTGTAATTAACAGATGAATAATTAATTCCCTAACTCCCAAAATTATAGACCTGATGATAATTTACTTCTGGACGAATTTAATAAAGACTCTGTAAATTAAGAATGACAGTTTGAAAATGTCCTTCTTACTTTATATAGCTTGTTGTTTGAACGAACATCTGCAGTATTTTTAGAGTTAAAGTAAGTGATGTGTTGTTATGAATTTCCATGGTATGTACGTATTTTTTTATATTTTTTCAATATGGGTTGTATTTTTTATGATTTTCAGGATGGTCGCCTAGAAATGGGTGGTTTACTTCAAGAAGATATATTTTTAACACACATCTGGATTATATCGTCATATTGGAATTTAATTTTAGTCCGCACACTATCATATTCGCTTCAGAAAAGGATGTTTTAATATTTTTGGATATTTTAAAAATTATATTCTGATTGACCAACTTATAATTTTCTGTATTATGTAGTAAAACACGTACTGACAACAATTTAAACGTTGGTCTGAATTAAATTTACATTTGAATTAGTAGTGAGGTTTACTATGAATGTGATTTTCATTAAAAAAAAATTGTATATTTTAAGATTATTTACATTTACATTAATATTAAGTTAAAATAAAAATAAGCTGAAGAGAAATTTGTATTTTGTGTTTCATGTGTCGTAAATAAAAATTATAAACTTTTCAAGTTTATTTAATTTAATTTACATTTTCTGTGCTGTGAATACTTTTTACCATTTTTTTGACACAATAAAATGAGCATGGGTTTGAATTTTCATTTTCGGTTTTGTTAATTGGTTATAACTTACCATAAATCATTGATTTCGGCAAAATACTTGTGCATTAAACAGAAACTTTATTAACTTTTCATAAATTTATAATCATAATAAAAATTTTTGAAATTATTTAGAAGTTGCGCTCAACATTGTCATGTAAGTGTAGGCGGTTTTAAAAATCTGTAAAAAAATTCTGAGTCGATGTTGTACAATGAAAATTTCACCCTTACAGTCAGCATCATGACGTGTGAAAGGTAACTGAAAGGGCCTGCGTGAATAAGTATAGGTTTCTGCGACCTGATTATAATCAGAACGATGACCTTCTGAAAAGACGGATTTCTGTTGTACCAGTTGCTGTCATAAGCGGTGTCGCCAACTGAAAATCCCTGGAAAAATCTTTTTATTTATGTTTTCAACACTAGTACGAACTCACCTCGTCCATTACGTGTTGACCACTAACCGAGACGATAATTAGCGAAAGCACCCAACCGAAAAACAGCGAAGACGACAGTAACGAGAAACTCTAAGAAAAAAACGAAAATTTCATGTAACAACTCAAACTAGTACGGGTACCTCCATCACTTTGTAACCAATACACCCAAACAGCGCCCCCGAGAACAACACATGCAAAAATAAACACCCAGCGAAATTCTTATCCATCTCTTGTCCAACCCTAGAACCAAACCTACATCTCTCAACCACCACAATTTCAAACTAATACCCAAAAATATCGTTATGGTATTCAACACACTTCAACAACCTTTTGTTTCTCAGTTTAGCATCTTCAGTATCCACCGTCTCCAGAAGCATCACCTTCAAGTGCTGTATTCTCACAACCAAGTGCTCCATCGACTCCATAATCGAAAACGAAATCAGCGCAGCCCCTTTCATCGTAAACAAAAGCGTATAACACTGCCACAAATACAAAATTTGTTTAAGTGGAAACACGTTGATGTTGAAAGGCACCCACGTCGTCACCACCAACCCGCAAATTTCCTTAAATTCCCTCGTCAGATTTTCCCTTTCGCAAGACCTCAGTTTGAGAAAGGGCTCAAGACACATGTTAAAAATAACAACGTCGATGTACGTTTTGTACAATCTAGACCAAAACATCAGTTTTTTGTTGCGCTCTTCAAAATTCGGCGGCGTTCCGAATTTTTCGAAGTTAGAAAGGTGCGTGAAAATTTTCGCGATGGGTTGTTGATACCTGACGTACGTCGCGTTGAAATAGAAAACGCCCACTTCTCCGATTAGGATGACTAGGTCTTCGAAGATGTTGCTGGAGGCGTCTAAAAAAGAGTGTTTTTGGTTGTGGAGGTGGAAGGGACTTACTTTGGATGGACACGACCAAGTGAGCGGAGCTTCCGAAGAGGATGACGGACTGAGAGGTGAGCATTAACATGAATCTGATGTAGAACCATTTTCCTGGATTTAGCTCGTGGCCTTCTTTGGGCCAGATGCAATTGAAGCGGAGGTAGCTTAGAGTTTCGCCTAGGATGACTAGAGGCATGTTTGGCGGAAAGTAGATTGGTACTTAAATAAGGATGGCACTTTTATTTATACACAAATGTAGAGTTGCGTGAAAAATTCAAATGTCTTGTGTTGTAATTAACAGATGAATAATTAATTCCCTAATTCTCAAAATTACAGACGTAGCGCTATTTTACATTTAGAGGAAATTAATAAAGACTCATTAAATTAAGAATGGCAGTTTGAAAATATCGTTGCTGGTTGTGGAACGAAACGAACGAATATTGCAGTTGTTGCAAATTAGAGTAATAGCAGATTGCGACCCATAGGCAACCATTAATACATTAATAAAACAAGGACAGAAGTTTTCATAGGATGTATGTATGTACTTTTTAATATTTCTTCAAACCGGTTTCATTTTTTTTAAGATTTTCAGCATGGTCATTCTAAAGTGGATGGTTTATTTTAAGAAGATGCACTTCAAAATATAATCTTTAAATACCAAGTATTGAAGACTGCAGCAACTTATAATCTCCTGAAATATTTATTTGATAAATGTGGGCTAGTACAAAACATGAACATGTCTACTTAAACAAGTAGTTCAGGTTTACATTACATTAAAATGTTTTCTTTGTATATCTTTTTCATAATTTTTTTTTTGTGTTTGTTTCAAACATTTTTTCTCTAATCATATATTTATTTAATTCTGTGTCATTGGAGATATTGTGAACAAATAAAAAAATGTTCATCGTTTATTGCCTATAAAAATTATCTAACTTTAGCGTCAATGGTAAGTAAACTAATAGAAAACCTGTATTTTGTATTTCATGTATCGTAATTATAAATTAAGTTTTTTAACATTTAGTTTGTTTAATTCAAGTCTTTCTCTCCTGTCGGTTGTGCACCAACCTACTGCAATTTTTTTTGCAGCAAAAAAAGTTCTCGTTGAGTTTTTATTTTGATTTTTGCTTTTTCACATTTTCAAACCTTTATGCGATTTGTCTAGCGTTCCTTGGTGGATATTTATAAACAAATTAAGCTAGGTTATTTTAATCGGTTTTGAAGCGCATGCTCGAAATTGATCTTGAATTGACCATTCAGAGCTGACTATTCTGCAAATAGACGTCGACAAACGTCAATCTTTCAGGTTTAATTAAGTTTGACAAAACTGACTACTGAAATATACATTCACTTAGTCCATGAAATATGGAATATTGCTGCAGAACTGAAAAGAATTCAGGAAGGATGTTTTGTAAAGGATTAACAGCCCTCAATATCTTTAATAAAAAAACGACATGATGAAACAGATTTTTAATTTTCTCTGCAATATTAATATTGTTATCATGTCAGTTCACAGTTGTCAATTTTGACATAAGGAAGCGTAATAAGCGTGGTGAAAAGATGGCAGCTATTAACTTGGTGCCTAAAATTGCCATTTGACAATTATTTTAAATATGTTGCCAATGTGTACTCTTTTGTCCTATAATTCCATACGTGTATCTGTTGGAAAATAAATTACTATTTATTTATTTATTTATTATTACAATTTTTGAGGTTACTTAGAAGTTGCATTCAACATTGTCATGTAGGTGTACGCTGTTTTAAAAATCTGGAAAAAAATATGAGTCGATTTTGTGGAATCACAGATTTCACTCTTACAGCCAACACCAGGACATGTGCAAGGTGACTAAAAGGTCCAGCGTGAATGAGAATGGGTTTTTGTGATCTGGTTATAATCAGAACGATGTTTCTTTGGAAAGAAGCATTTCTGTCGTACCAGTTGCTGTCGTAAGCGGTGTCGCCAACTGAAAGTCCCTGGAAGAATCGTATGGTTAATGTTTTCACTACTGTTACTAACTCACCTCATCCATTAAACGTTGACCACTAACTGAAACGATGACGAAGGCAAGCACCCAACCCAAAAATAGCGAATACGACAATAGCGAGAAACTCTAAGAAAAAAAACGAAAATTTTACGTAACAACTCAAATTATTGCGAGTACCTCCAGAACTGTGTAACCTACACATCCAAAAAGAGCCCCTGAGAGCAACACGTGTGCAAATAAACACCTATCGAAATTCTTATCCATCTCTTCTCCAATCCTAAAACACAACTGTTATCTATTCACGTATCACAGTTTCCAACCAGTACTCAAAAATATCAATGTGATATTCCACACATTTCGCCAACGTTTCATTCCTCAATTTCTCGTCTTCAGTGTCCACCGTCTCCAACAACAACCCCTTCAAATGTTGTATTCTCACCAGCAAGTGCTCCATCGATTCCATAAGCGAAAAAGAAACAAGCGCCGCCCCTTTCATCGTAAACAACATCGTATAACATTGCCACAGATAAAGAATGTGTTTAAGTGGAAACACCTCAATATCGAAAGGCACCCAAGTCGTCACCACCAATCCACAAATTTCCTTAAACTTCCTCCTCAAGTTTTCCCTTTCGCAAGATTTCGCCCTGAACAACCTCTCCAGACACAAGTTAAAAATGATAACGTCGATGAATGTTTTGTATATTCGCGACAGAAAAGTCAGCTTCTTGTTGCGTTGATCAAAATTCGGAGGCGTTCCGAATTTTTCGAAATCAGAAAGGTGCGTGAAAATTTTCGCGATTGGTTTTTCGTACCTCACGTACAACGCGTTGAAGTAGAAGACGCCTATTTCTCCGATTAGGATGATTAGGTCTTCGTAGATGTTGTTGGAGTTGTCTAAAAAAGCGTGTTTTTGGGGGTGAGGTTGAAAAGGGACTTACTTTGGATGGAAACGACTAAGTGAGCGGAGCTTCCGAAGAGGATGATCGACTGAGAGGTGAGCATTAACATGAACCTGATGTAGAACCATTTTCCTGGGTTTAGCTCGTGGCCTTCTTTGGGCCAGATGCAACTGAAGCGGAGGTAGCTTAAAGTTTCGCTTAGAATGACTAGAGTCATGGTTGGCGGAAAGTGAATTGGTGCTTAAATTGAGGATGACAGTTTTATTTATACATAAATTTAGAGTTGCATGAAAAATATATTTTTCTTGGATTGTAATTAACAGGTGAATAATTAATTCCCTAATTCCCAAAATTATAGACCTGGCACTAATTTATGTTAAACGAGATTAATAAAGGACTCATTAAATTAAGAATGACAGTTTAAAAATGTAGTTGCTCTTTAGTACATCTTGCAGAATGAGAGTAATAAGTGCTTAAATTTTATACACAAATTGACATTTAAACGTGTGTTTTAGTGTCATCGTCACTAGATACTACTGAAGGAAACAATTTTTTTCTCTATGTTTGGAAGACATCGTCTTCGTGACACTTTACACAGCACTTTGGCAATACATTAAGGAAAAACTGTCATGCAAGGACTGAACTGGGCCAATGTTGCCAACGTTTGCATTGACCCATTACAACAACTTATAATTTTCTTCAATATTTGATTAAGCGTGCACTGGTGCACTGTTTAGCGAAGTTCCTTTATTGGTTAGTTACACAATCGATAGAAATTCAAAAGTTGGTCAAAGAAGAAAAGCTCGTTGCAGGTGATTTAATGTTTTAAATTGAAGAAATATTGATTCTAAATGTAGTTTTATTTTTTAGTTAGTTTTTTCATTCATTTTAAACACTTCTTTTATAATTTTTGGAGTACATATGTTATGTTGTCCTGTGTGCTTTCTGTGTACTGAAGCCTTATTGATTAAAATTTTTCATAAGATAGTTAAATAATTGTGTTTGTCAGTCAGTCTCTTTAAAAATTATATAATTTTAGTATCAATTAATAAAAGAAGGAATTTATTTTATTTATTAAATAAAAACATCACATCAAATTTTTGCAAAATTCTGAGGACGCAGAACTGCAGCTGTTTTTGTTTGTCTCAAAAAATTATCATTATAAAATAAAACTTTCAAAATCAATGTTTCAGGAACAAGTGAACTCCAGGCCAATTTTTTATGTTATTGAGGTGTAATAAAATGGTGCTAACAAAATCTGATTCTCTTTTTCCAGGAAAGTAAGTAGTTATTGACTTAGATATGCAATATTTATTATTAGAAATATTCAAGTCTTTTTTGTAACTTTGTTTATAATGGCTAGTGGTTGGCTATGAAAGAGGTAATGAACTGAAAATCGTTTCTTCAAATTGTTGGAAAAACTGTCCGTTGAATTCTTCAAAATTTTGGTGACATCATCACATTGTTGGTGGTGATGATAGGTATAAGGGGCAGTAAACCGATTTTTAGTATTTGCTATAAACTAAAATGTTCCTACGAAAAGGAAACAAGGCAATTGTAAGAATATATTTCTGGAGTTGTAGCTGAAGTACAAAAAATATGTTGGTTTTGTTAACACGTTTTAAAAAATTTCAAACCGCTTTTTTTTAAATCTTATTTTGTCAAGTGGTCGAATTTTCTATTAAAAAAATACCTGAAAGTGGCCTCGCCCACCCAACCCGTTTTTTTTTTTTAACCGTAAATAAACAATTTCAGCTTTTACGCTTTTCTTTTGTCTTATTTATAATTTTCCTGCAATATTAACAATTGTGTTAGGTTAATACCAAGTGACTATTAATGATTGAAGCAAATATTTCTGTTATCATGCAAGTTTATAATGATCACAAAAAAATCACAAACATTAGTATTCACTCGGTATTTCTGCTCTCTTACTCTATCATTGTATACGTGTATTTGTTGGACAATAAATTATTATTTATTTACATATTTATTTATTTATTTATTATTACAAATGTTTGAGGTTACTTAGAAGTTGCATTCAACATTGTCATGTAGGTGTACGCTGTTTTAAAAATCTGCAAAAAAATATGAGTCGATTTTGTGGAATCACAGATTTCACTCTTACAGTCAACACCAGGACGTGTGCAAGGTGACTAAAAGGGCCAGCATGAATGAGAATGGGTTTTTGCGATCTAGTTATAATCAGAACAATGTTTTTTTGGAAAGAAGCATTTCTGTCATACCAGTTGCTATCATAAGCGATGTCGCCAACTGAAAATCCCTGGAAGAACCTTTTGGTTAATATTTTCACCACTGTTACTAACTCACCTCGTCCATTAAATGTTGACCACTAATTGAAACGATGACGAGGGAAAGCACCCAACCCACAAATAGCGAACACGACAATAACGAAAAACTCTAAGAAAAAACGAAAGTTGTATGTAACAATTCAATTTATTACGAGTACCTCCATTATTGTATAACCTACACATCCAAAAAAGGCCCCCGAAACCAACACGTGTGCAAATAAACAGCTATCGAAATTCTTATCCATCTGTTGCCCAATCCTAAAACACAACTGTTATTTATCCACCTGCCACAATTTCCAACCAGTACTCAAAAATATCAATGTGATATTCAACACATTTCCCTAACATTTCGTTCCTCAATTTCTCGTTTTCAGTGTCCACCGTCTCCAACAACAACTCTTTCAAATGTTGTATTCTCACCACCAAGTGCTCCATTGATTCCATAAGTCCAAACGAAACAATCGCCGCCCCTTTCATCGTAAACACAATCGTGTAACACTGCCATAAGTAAAGAATTTGTTTAAGTGGAAACACGTCGATGTTGAAAGGCACCCAAGTCGTCACCACCAATCCACAAATTTCCTTAAACTTCCTCGTCAAGTTTTCCCTTTCGCACGATTTTACCCTGAATAAAGCCTCAAGACACAGGTTAAACATGATAATGTCGATTAATGTTTTGTACATTCTCGACCAAAACACCAATTTCTTGTTGCGTTGTTCAAAATTAGGGGGTGTCCCGAATTTTTCAAAATTAGAAAGGTGCGTGAAAATTTTCGCGATTGGTTCTTCGTAGCGGACGAATGACGCGTTGAAGTAGAAAACGCCAACTTCTCCGATTAGGATAACTAGGTCTTCGAAGATGTTGTTGGAGTCGTCTAAAAAAGCGTGTTTTTGGGTGTGATGTTCGAAGGGGACTTACTTTGGATGGAGACGACCAAGTGGGCGGAGCTTCCAAAGAGAATGATCGACTGAGAGGTGAGCATTAATATGAACCTGATGTAGAACCATTTTCCTGGGTTTAGCTCGTGGCCTTCTTTGGGCCAGATGCAACTGAAGCGGAGGTAGCTTAAGGTTTCGCTCAGGACGACTAGAGTCATGGTTGGAGGAAAGTAAACTAGTGTTTAATAAATTGAGGGTGACAGTTTTATTTATACACAAATTTAGAGTGAGTTTCATGAAAAATATATTTTTCTTGCAGTGTAATTAACAGGTGAATAATTAATTCCCTAATTCCCAAAATTATGGACTCATTTAATTAAGGATGACAGTTTAAAAATGTAGTTTCTCTTTGGTACATCGTGAAGAATGAGAGTAAAAAGTGCGTACATTTTATACACAAATTGACATTTAAAGATGTGTTTTAGCGTCATCGTCATTAGATACTACTGAAGGAAAAAATTAAAGAAAAACTGTCTAAAAAAATGAACGAGACCAATGTTACCAACGCTTGCATTGACCCATTACAACAACTTATAATTTTCTTCAATATTTGATTAAGCGTGTACTGGTGCACACATGGGCGTGTTTAAGGTGGCATTGTTTAGCGAAGTTCCATTGGTTAGTTACACAATCGATAGAAATTCAAAAGTTGGTCAAAGAAGAAAAGCTCGTTGCAAGTGATTTAAAGTTTTAAATGAAGAAATATGGATTCTCAATGTAGTTTTTTCATTCGATTTAAACACTTCATTTCCAATTTTTGCAGTACACAATTTATGTTGTCCTGTGTGTTCTTTGTGTAGTGAAGCTTTTTAATTGAATTAATTTAATTATCTATTATGTAATTTTAATAGCAACTGTTAAAAGAAGGAATTTATTTTATTTATCAAATAAAAACATCACATCAATTTTTGCAAAATTCTGGGGACACAGATCTGCAGCTATTTTTGTTTGTCCGTATTTAATTCAAAAAGTAAAACTTGTCATTGAGATGTAATGAAATAGTGCTAAAAAATCTGAATCTCTTTTCCAGGTAAATATTTATTGACTCAGATATGCAATAATATGAAAATAATCGTTTCTTCAAATTGTTGGAAAGACTGTTCATTGAATTTTTCAAAATTTTTAGTGACGTCATCACGTTGTTGGTAGGGATCGTATTTCTAAAATATATCTAAAATCACTGCTGTAGTTTCGCAGATATTCTTTCTAGTAGAAATAGACAGGGAAGACCTATTTTTCACAATCTAGGTCTCGTGAAATATCGAACAAACAAGAAAGTATATATTTTCCGAATGGGTCCTATTATAAAATTCTCTTACTTTGTTCGGTAAGTAAAAATGTAATTTTTTTTGGAGTTGTTTGTTCAATTTCTGTTAGTTTATACTTGTTAACACGTTTTAAAACAACTTCAAACTGACCCCGCCGTCCCATCCCGTTTTCTATTTGATCACTCATTTCATTGGAGCAAAAATGGATTTTATATTGACGAACAGTGGAATTTAGACAAAAAAGGTAAAACTAACCCCACCCACATCCGCTTTTGTATTCCATTGGCTTATTTTATTTATTGCGAGATGCAGACTGAATTTTATTTTGTCGAGTGGCCCAATCTTCGATTAAAAAAATACAGAAAGTGTCCCCTGCCACCCACCCCTTCACTTATTTAGTGAACGAAAAGTGGAAAATAATGGAATCTAGATAAAAAACGTAAAACTAGCCCCACCCACTTCTTATTCTCAGTTTCATTGGCTTATTTTATTTAGTGCCATATGAAAACTGAATTTTACTTTGTCCAGTGATCGAATTTTCGTTAAAAAAAATTAAATGCATTCAAACTTATTCATTCTGTATCACACATAAAGTCAAATTGACAGGTTTAAATGATGTCAGACAAAAATAATGATACATATCTATTTTTTAAATAAATTCCTAAGCATACTAATTCATTTTTTTTCGATCATTGTGGTACGTTGTAATAGGGTTCATCCGACGAATAGGTACATATAGCTGTTTTTTTGACGTTTCATGACTCTACAATATGAAAAAGTATCATCTGTCTCTCGTTTATCTGCGAAACTACTGGACCGATTGTTGTAAAATTTTATATGTATGTTAGAAATATAGTGTAGATGCTGAAAATTTGTCTAATCATCCCCACCAATAATTTGATGTCCCCTCAAAATTTTGTTAGTAAACATCAATTAAATTTTATAAAATAATACACTCTTATACTCATGCTTTATGAACCCGACTTAAATTATAAACATTTTTTTACATTGAGGCTGTGTTCAGTAGAGTCAGATAAGAATATGCAGTTTTGAAAATCTGAAATCAAACATTTACAATGTTTTTTGTGAATTAGAGCTTACTTACCGTCAAAATAATAATATGAGACACATAACTAAATGGCCCGGCATGAACCACAATAGGCGTTTGAGATCTCGTAATAATAAAAATAATATTTTTCTGAAACTGAACATCGCGATCGTACCATTTGCTATTATAGGCAGCTTCTGCCACAGACGTAGCCTTAAAAAAATAACTCTTGCTAAACTAATTCTCTAAAAATTAAAACCAACCTCGTCGATTAAATGCTGTCCACTGATACACACAATATACAACGAGAGCACCCACCCCATAAAAATACAAAGCGCATTTAAAGGCAAACTCTAAAACAAAAAAATCAGATAATGTAACCTACTCCCGTCTTCTACCTCCTGCATGAATCTATAACCAATGCAACCAAACAGCGCCCCAGACAACAAAACGTGCAGAAACAAACACCCTGTATAGTACTTATCAATCCTTCGACCAAGACTAAAACAAAACCGCTACTCATCACCAAAAACGCACTTCCAAACATACTCAAAAATATTAATGTGATACTCAATACAACACGAAAACCGCTTCATTCTCACAATTTCATCTTGAGTGTCAACAGCATCCGCTAGCATTACTTTAAAATGCTGGATTCTAATCACCAAATGCTCCATCGACTCCATGATAGCGAAAGAAATCAACGCCGCCCCCTTCATTGTAAAAACAATCGTGTAGCACTGCCACAAATACAGAATTTGTTTAATTGGAAAAACTTCGATGTCGAAAGGCATCCACGTCGTAACTAGCAACCCACACACTTCCTTAAAGCTTCTGGTTTCGTTTTCTTTGACACACAAATGTTTCGTACAGAATGGGTAAACGCAGAAATTGAAAATCGCAATGTCGATGAAGGTTTTGTACATTCTTGATAGAAAGAGGAGTTGTTTGTTGCGCTTTTCAAAATGATGAGGTTTCTCGTACTTGTCGAAGTCGCTAAGGTCGAGGTAGATTTTCGCGATGTCTTTCTGCTCGGAGACGAAAGTAGCGATGAAGTAGAAGACGCCGATTTCGGCAATTATTATGACGAGGTCTTCGGTGATGTTGTTGGAATTGTCTAAAGGGAAACATTGTTGGGGTAGGTGGAGACGAAGACGTACTTACTTTGGATGGACACTGTTAAGTGGGCACCGCTTCCGATTAAAATAATCGAGGTAGAGGTGAGCATTAGAATAAATTTGATGTAGAAGGATTTGGGGGGGTTTAATTCGTCTTTTTTGTTAGGCCAAATGCAGTTGAAACGGAGATAACTTAAAGTTTCACCTAGGATGGTGATCATTGTTTTTAGTTATACACCTGGAGGTAATAAAAATGAATTTTTGTAAGAAGGGAAGTTAATTTATATGAAGACAATGCGTGCGTAGAAAAATATTACTCGTGTTGTTATTAGGGGGTGAATAATTGAACAAGAGTGAAATTATAGGACCAACATTCTTGAAGGCATGAATATAATTATTTAAGTGTATGCGAGTCGTGTATAATTGGTTGCATATCTTTTAATTTTTAATGAGTGGAGTACGTTGAAAATGCGAAAAATAGAAAAACAACTGCATTTTCTGCAATGCTACTAAAACGAAAACTTTCTTGAGATTGAAAATCAGCTAATACTGCTCTGTGGACACATGAAATTTTATCACGTTCTAAACTTAATAATTAAGACCAAGACAAGATTTTCCTGTGTATCAGAATATCACTTTTAAACAAAAGTTCGATTATTCTCTTTTTTGCATTATTTTATAAATAAATTGTTTATAAGAAAAGTTTAGTGAAAAGTAATAATATTAAAATGATGAATTTTTGTTCACCTAACCCGGCGCAGCCACCATTTTTCTCGTTTCGAACCGATTTTCTCGAATTATTAATCATTCCAGTTTATAAATCTTACATGTGCAGTACACAGTAAAATACGTGAAAAAAATTATTTCCGATCTCAATATTTACTCGTTTAATTACGCATTCACGAAGTATTTGTCTCTGATCCGTAAGCCCCAAGTTCGCTCTGTTTATTATTTAAGTTTGGAAAGGTATTAGTTTTTCAAGCCATAAATATTCCAGAGCTGTTAGAATATCAATTAAATACATCAAAAATTAATATCGGTTGACCTCTTACGTCAAACGGGTCGATATAGATAATTTTTATAATTGGCGTTGAATTAATGGTTACTTAATTGTTGTCATAAATTATTAATCTCGTTATCGATCTAAGAGTCTGGTAAAAACTACTTGTAAAAAATAATTTTTAAATAAACATATTCAACTTATGTTTTATTATTAAACCACCGAACTATTTTAAGGTTAGTAGCCGCTATAAAGACGTGGATTGATTTTTTACTCCATGGATACGGCAAGAGTGTGTCGTTTTAAACTCGTAATAGAATTGTCATTAAAACGTCATTAAGTATTCACAGCTGCGACCTGAATATGGACACAAAAGAATATAAAAATTGTGCTGCATTGCTAATAAAGTTTAATATAAAATTTTGTCTTTTATCGTTACACTTTAGCGTTAATTTTTGTGATTTGGGTGGAATATCATCATGGAGCCTTTCTACACATGATTGCTTGAATTAGCTCCTCGTTCTTTATTTATGGTCAGGGCAGACCTTAATAGATGCGGTAAATGGTTTACTGTCTTAAGTTAAAATACTGTGGTCATTTTTAGTCGACTTCTACTGCATAAGTTGCGAATTTTTAATTCGAAATGGTACATCGCCGATGTGGATTTAAAGAGAGACTTGATTTTTCTGATTATGAGAAGTCAGAAATCTCTGTTTTTGGCAACAGGAGCTTTTAATCTGCTGAGTTTTTCGATATCTCTCACGGAAATTTTAGAAGAGAGAAATCTACAGACGATCATGCAATTGTGTGTTTTTAGATTATGAAAATATCCTACTCAATTGTAACTCTACTGCGATAAGGTCCAAGTGCGTCTCTAATTATTTAAATTTATTGCGAAAATCTAGGTTTCTGAAAATTCTGACATCACCACCTAATTCGTCAAATTTATCTGTTATTATATATTAAATTCTCATTAAATGTTCAGTGTTCCATAATTGTACAAATTAAAATAAAACACACTTCCACAAAATATAATTAATTTAAGTTATTATTAGTTTTTGTCTTGACTGTAGTTTTAGCCTTAATGCGTGAATAAAAATTTTCAAAAAATGTTGACAATCGTTAACCTTTTTTTCGATTTTTAATTCCCGAGCGTAAGCAAAAGTTTTCTCGAGGTTTCATGACACCTACAGTACGAAAAATGTGGTTTCCCGTTCCCGTCCGATTGTCTGTCTGCTTTTTAAAGTTTTCAAAATTCGCATTTCCTAGCGTTTTTTCGAAAATGTTGCTCCGTGTCCACCAACATGCTATATTTTTGGAATCAGCATGTCGAGATCTACGTATCTGAATTTTTTCAGAATTTTTAAACAACTTTTATAAATGTGAAATTTTTCCTCTTCTCCAAATATCGGCCAAAATTTCACATTTTCGAAACCTAACTAAACACATGTTCCTGTAGATTTCGAGCTCTAGAACACGCTTCCGGTCTCGTTTCTTTGATAACTGCAACCGTTTTTCCAGAATCGGCCGTTGAAATATCGAAATTCTTCGAAATTCCCAAAAATTCGCATTTCGTAGCGATTTTTTCGAAAATATAGCCCCGTGTCCATCAACATGCTATATTTTTAGAATCAGCATGTCGAGAACTATGTCCCTGAATTTTTTCAGAATTTTTAGACAACTTTTGTAAAAGTGAAATTTTTCCAATGGTCCCCCCTTCTTCAAATTTCGGCGAAAATTTCACATTTTCGAAACCTAACTAAATACATTTTCTTGTAGATTTCGAGCTCTAGAACACGTTTCCGGTCTCGTTTCTTTGATAACTGCAACCGTTTTTCCAGAATCGTCCGTTGAAATATCGAAATTTTTCGAAATTCCCAAAAATTCGCATTTCGTAGCGTTTTTTTCGAAAATGTTACTCCGTGTCCATCAACATGCTATATTTTTAGAATCAGCATGTCGAGATCTACGTCCCTGAATTTTTTCAGAATTTTTAGACAACTTTTGTAAAAGTGAAATTTTTCCAATGGTCCCCCCTTCTTCAAATTTCGGCCAAAATTTCACATTTTCGAAACCTAACTAAATACATTTTCTTGTAGATTTCGAGCTCTAGAACACGCTTCCGGTCTCGTTTCTTTGATAACTGCAACCGTTTTTCCAGAATCGGCCGTTGAAATATCGAAATTTTTCTAAATTCCCAAAAATTCGCATTTCGTAGCGATTCTTTCGAAAATATAGCCCCGTGTCCATCAACATGTTATATTTTTAGAATCAGCATGTCGAGAACTATGTCCCTGAATTTTTTCAGAATTTTTAGACAACTTTTGTAAAAGTGAAATTTTTCCAATGGTCCCCCCTTCTTCAAATTTCGGCCAAAATTTCACATTTTCGAAACTTAACTAAACACATGTTCTTGTAGATTTCGCGCTCTAGAACACGCTTCCGGTCTCTTTTCTTTGATAACTGCAACCGATTTTCCAGAATCGGCCGTTGAAATATCGAAATTTTTCGAAATTCCCAAAAATTCGCACTTCGTAGCGTTTTTTTCGAAAATGTTATCCGTGTCCATCAACATGCTATATTTTTGGAATCAGCATGTCGAGATCTTCGTCCCTGAATTTTTTCAGAATTTTTAGACAACTTTTGTAAAAGTGAAATTTTTCCAATGGTCCCCCCTTCTTCAAATTTCGGCCAAAATTTTACATTTTCGAAACCTAACTAAATACATTTTCTTGTGTATTTCGAGCTCTAGAACACGCTTCCGGTCTCGTTTCTTTGATAACTGCAACCGTTTTTCCAGAATCGGCTGTTGAAAAATCGAAATTTTTCGAAATTCCCAAAAATTCGCATTTCGTAGCGATTTTTTCGAAAATGTTGCTCCGTGTCCATCAACATGCTATATTTTTGAAATCAGCATGTCGAGAGCTACGTCCCTGAATTTTTTCAGAGTTTTTAGACAACTTTTTAAAAGTGAAATTTTTCCAATGGTCCCCCCTTCTTCAAATTTCGGCCAAAATTTCACATTTTCGAAACCTAACTAAATACATTTTCTTGTAGATTTCGAGTTCTAGAACACGCTTCCGGTCTCGTTTCTTTGATAACTGCAACCGTTTTTCCAGAATCGGCTGTTGAAAAATCGAAATTTTTCGAAATTCCCAAAAATTCGCGTTTCGTAGCGTTTTTTTTCGAAAATATTGCTCCGTGTCCATCAACATGCAATATTTTTGGAATCAGCATGTCGAGATCTACGTCCCTGAATTTTTTCACAATTTTTAGACAACTTTTGTAAAAGTGAAATTTTTCCAATGGTCCCTCCTTCTTCAAATTTCGGCCAAAATTTCACATTTTCGAAACCTAACTAAATACATTTTCTAGTAGATTTCGAGCTCTAGAACACGCTTCCGGTCTCGTTTCTTTGATAACTGCAACCGTTTTTCCAGAATCGGCTGTTGAAAAATCGAAATTTTTCGAAATTCCCAAAAATTCGCGTTTCGTAGCGTTTTTTTCGAAAATATTGCTCCGCGTCCAACAACATGCTATATTTTTGGAATCAGCATGTCGAGATCTACGTCCCTGAATTTTTTCACAATTTTTAAACAACTTTTGTAAAAGTGAAATTTTTCCAATGGTCCCCCCTTCTTCAAATTTCGGCCAAAATTTCACATTTTCGAAACCTAACTAAATACAATTTCTTGTAGATTTCGAGCTCTAGAACACGCTTCCGGTCTCGTTTCTTTGATAACTGCAACCGTTTTTCCAGAATCGGTCTTTGAAATAACGAAATTTTTCGAAATTCCCAAAAATTCGCATTTCGTAGCGTCTTTCTCGAAAATATTGCTCCGTGTCCATCAACATGCTATATTTTTGGAATCAGCATGTCGAGATCTACGTCCCTGAATTTTTTCGGGATTTTCATACAACTTTTGTAAAAGTGAAATTTTTCCAATGGTCCCCCCTTCTTCAAATTTCGGCCAAAATTTCACATTTTCGAAACCTAACTAAATACATTTTCTTGTAAATTTCGAGCTCTAGAACACGCTTCCGGTCTCGTTTCTTTGATAACTGCAACCGTTTTTCCAGAATCGGTCTTTGAAATAACGAAATTTTTCGAAATTCCCAAAAATTCGCATTTCGTAGCGTCTTTTTCGAAAATATTGCTCCGTGTCCATCAACATGCTATATTTTTGGAATCAGCATGTCGAGATCTACGTCCCTGATTTTTTTCACAATTTTTAGACAACTTTTGTAAAAGTGAAATTTTTCCAATGGTCCCCCCTTCTTCAAATTTCGGCCAAAATTTCACATTTTCGAAACCTAACTAAATACATTTTCTTGTAGATTTCGAGCTCTAGAACACGCTTCCGGTCTCGTTTCTTTGATAACTGCAACCGTTTTTCCAGAATCGGCTGTTGAAAAATCGAAATTTTTCGAAATTCCCAAAAATTCGCGTTTCGTCTCGTTTTTTTTCGAAAATATTGCTCCGTGTCCATCAACATGCTATATTTTTGGAATCAGCATGTCGAGATCTACGTCCCTGAATTTTTTCACAATTTTTAGACAACTTTTGTAAAAGTGAAATTTTTCCAATGGTCCCCCCTTCTTCAAATTTCGGCCAAAATTTCACATTTTCGAAACCTAACTAAATACAATTTCTTGTAGATTTCGAGCTCTAGAACACGCTTCCGGTCTCGTTTCTTTGATAACTGCAACCGTTTTTCCAGAATCGGTCTTTGAAATAACGAAATTTTTCGAAATTCCCAAAAATTCGCATTTCGTAGCGTCTTTTTCGAAAATATTGCTCCGTGTCCATCAACATGCTATATTTTTGGAATCAACATGTCGAGATCTACGTCCCTGAATTTTTTCACAATTTTTAGACAACTTTTGTAAAAGTGAAATTTTTCCAATGGTCCCCCCTTCTTCAAATTTCGGCCAAAATTTCACATTTTCGAAACCTAACTAAATACATTTTCTTGTAGATTTCGAGCTCTAGAACAAGCTTCCGGTCTCGTTTCTTTGATAACTGCAACCGTTTTTCCAGCATCGGCTGTTGAAAAATCGAAATTTTTCGAAATTCCCAAAAATTCGCGTTTCGTCTCGTTTTTTTTCGGAAATATTGCTCCGTGTCCAACAACATGCTATATTTTTGGAATCAGCATGTCGAGATCTACGTCCCTTAATTTTTTCACAATTTTTAGACAACTTTTGTAAAAGTGAAATTTTTCCAATGGTCCCCCCTTCTTCAAATTTCGGCCAAAATTTCACATTTTCGAAACCTAACTAAATACATTTTCTTGTAGATTTCGAGCTCTAGAACACGCTTCCGGTCTCGTTTCTTTGATAACTGCAACCGTTTTTCCAGAATCGGCTGTTGAAAAATCGAAATTTTTCGAAATTCCCAAAAATTCGCGTTTCGTCACGTTTTTTTTCGAAAATATTGCTCCGTGTCCATCAACATGCTATATTTTTGGAATCAGCATGTCGAGATCTACGTCCCTGAATTTTTTCACAATTTTTAGACAACTTTTGTAAAAGTGAAATTTTTCCAATGGTCCCCCCTTCTTCAAATTTCGGCCAAAATTTCACATTTTCGAAACCTAACTAAATACATTTTCTTGTATATTTCGAGCTCTAGAACACGCTTCCGGTCTCGTTTCTTTGATTATTGCACTCACATGTCACATGATGTCAACTGACCAATCAAACGCGTCAATATTTGTAAATTCAACCAATCAGCATACAATTACGTGATAATTGCACACTGTGCAATTACCACTACCGATAATTATCACTAGCCAGATGTGCCAACTATAAGATAAGCAAGTACCAGTTAATTGCAAAAAAAAACAAGAGGTTACTAACCAAATATTTAATTATGAAACTAAGAATTGTAATTAATTATGGTACAGTTGTAGTA